TATCCATCCTGTTGATGATAAGCTAACAAAGGAATCCTGAAAGACGTCATTTGGCTTGTACCCATGGAACTGAACTCCAGGATAGATGAGCATTGGGTGGAGGTAAGTTCCTGCTGCATTACAACAAGTCAAAACAGTATTGTTTTGGTGCGTGTTGTTTGCAACACTGACGACATGCATTGTGCCGGTGTGTGTCTATACTCTTCTGGTGATGGCATCAAGATTGAAGCCACTTTCGTCGCAGCTGTAGATTCTTGATGGATCAAGAAAGATGGTCGGATCTATGTTCATGATGGTTTGTTCAAAGTCCGTAAACCACTTTCGAATCATCCCCTCTGTAACGAACACTCGTTGCTGGCCCAATTTCTGGGGTATTCTGAAGCTTAGCCTGTGTCTTTTCTTGAAGAGCTGAAACCAAGTTTTACTTGGCCTGTTGTCTTTCTCCTTGGGTACCTTGTCCTTGGAATCGAGATATATATCTCTTCACCATGTCCAAGACATCGTCTTTTCCTACCACAAATCCATGCTGGGCCATTCCAACAACCCAGTTGGCGATTTCTGTCTCTTCTTCTGCTGTAACCATTGTTGTAGGTACATGCAGTAGCTTCCTGCGTCCACTAAGTTTTATTTATCACAGAATGTTAACCAAGGTATTCCATACGTTTCTGTGGCCTGTCTCTTCTTCACGCCCTTCCCTACAGCTTCAAAGGCCTGATGTAAATTTTCTTGCGTCCACATAGGTGTTCACTTTTTTTGGGGTGGCCTTTTTTTTTTTGAAGGACTCATGATGTTTGTGGGGCTCTCTGCAAACGGTGCAAAAACGAATGTGCCCAGTAAAAGGCCTAAAACTTAGGCCAGATTGTAGTAGGGTTTCTAACTCGACCAGACCTGAGAATCCATGCACACAATAATTTTCGTCATGTGAGTTTAGTCACAAGTTGAACACCAGATATTTGAAATTGAAACCAATGTGATATAAATCGGTCGGGGTTAGACCACCCCACTGTACTAGTAAGTTAGGACTTGGAAGTAAAATTTAGTTATTAGTAGATCTTGTTAGTAGTTAGTAGTGGTTAGTTGTAAAAAAAAAAGAAACCAGAAAAAAAATGAAGAAAAAACAATAGGACCCCTTTAGGGCAGCACCCGTTGTCTCCTCTTAAACATGAGATTTAGGTGCGGCCATAACTGGCCGCATGAAGATTCTTGCCATGATCAGTGGTGGAAACTTACTACAGCCATGCATGGGTGCACAAAGTTATGGTTATTTAAACTAAACCAAGCAAAACAGGGTTAGTTTAAAGCATCTAAAACTGCGTAAGTACCTGAGTTAGCGTTTTAACACAAAAATGCACGGTAAAATCCAAACTTACAGAAAATAGGAAAGCGAAAGTTCAGAGTGATGAAAATCAAAGTTGAGGCTTTTCCGGCGGGAAGAAAGAGAAAGTCACGTGATTTCAACAACCAATGTTTATAATATGGGGAACCCCCCTCCATAATAAAGGGGAAAAGGTCACAGAGATGTAAACAAAGCTGTGGCCGCACCTGAATCCTGGCCACACCAGTAAGTCTCTACTCTAGGGAATGCGACTTAACGACACGTAGAAGGACGCAAACTATTTTTAGGTAAGGCAGCCATCTTGTGTGACATCAGATAGGGATACGCCTCGGATCACGTGACTACATCTAAATTTATCTCAACGCTGTGGAATCAGGCGCTCGTTAATTTTGGGGCATGTGGAGTTATTGGTATCGTCGTAAAGCCTGTCCATTTGCCTTGCTTGTAATGAAAAAAAATATCCATTTACCTCGGTTACAAGTCAAGATATTTGCGATTGAAGGAGATGGGGGTCGCCTTGTTTCAGAGGTAAAATTAGCAAGAAAATGGCCACCAAAGTTGAGTTATTTCCTAAGTTTAAGAGTCCGTGGAAACTGAAAAATTACATCTTTTATGCCTTTAATCAACGCTTTTAAGTAAAATCAGCACTGAAATGTGTTCTTCAATGGGCAGGAAAGGTGTTGAGCCAAAAGACAAAAATTTGGTCAAAATTTCCAAACCTGCAGAAAAATGCCAGTTTCTTGACTTTCATTAGGCCATATTTTGACGAGCGCCTGATTTCACCACGATGCATAACAAATATAGCCGACCGCATGGCACCAAAGATCGTGTCGAGAATCTTTGATGGCACACCGCTTTGGTGCGATGTTTTTCCAGGAATACCGGTAGATCTCATGTGATGTGATGGGGTGCTCCGATGATGCTACTTCTTATCTCTTAGATTCTGCCCATTGTTTATCGCGCCCGTGGGAAGGGGGGCGGGGTAATCTTCCGGCGTCTTTACGGCAATTTTCGCGCGCTTTATTGTGTTTGCGTTTGCCTTTCAATTTCAAGCATCATTACTGGAATTCCGAAATGTCGTTAATCAGTAGAGCATGGCTGACGGGCTGCAGTTGGCCGCAAGTGTAAAATTTTACCATGCAAAACTAACACATCAATACGGATATTATGTCAAGCCACTAACCCTACATGTCGTTCCATGTGGTAGGCCTATCTCCAAAGATTCTCTACTACACAATCTTTGGTATCTCCACGGCCTTCTAAAAATAGTCTGTGGGTATCCAGGACGTGACGAAGTCACATTACTAAAATTAGCCGGCAATCATGCAGGTGCGTCGTTCTACGTTTAGCCGCATGTGGCTAAGGGTAGGGTTAGGATTAGGGTAAAACCGTTAGGGCTTAGTTAGGGCGGGATAGGGTTTGGGTTAGGGTTAGATCTCTTATGTGTTTGTTGGGATGGTTGCTCGTTACGGAAGTCCTCCCTAATTAGATTTAAATCTAGACTCTATGGAAAGGGAATAGAAGCACAATGTGTGTACGCATGAAGAATTATAGGCCAATAAAATTTTTCCGCTTTCCAACGTTTTGTTCAGATTTGTAGAATTCAGAGATGATTGAAACCACATTTCCAGATAGATAGCAATAGCCGAATCAGTTGTTTTGAGGGGATAATCCGGTTTTGGCCCCAAAGATATGGAGTGTATGGGTTTTGGCTCGACCTTTTACTTCTGGTTCGAAATGATTACTTTTCGCTGCGCGTGCTGATACTAGATCTTGTGATACTATGTGATAAGCAGTGAGCGAAAGAAAAATAATATCAAAGCCCCCCTCCCCTTGTTAAAAACATGTAAAATATTACAACTCTCGCTCTCTTTCAGATAAATAAAACTCCAGTACCTAATATAGGTTAGATTAGTCACAATTCTTTAGGATAGGAATGCCTTGTTAGTAAGAAAAAATTCCAAAGTGGTGGGGTTGGGGGGGGGGGGGAATGCCTCCTTATATAATATAAATATATTTCCCCATAATTCATAAACTTTTAATTGATTCACACGAAACAATGGTTATCTGGATGGAAGTTGAATCTCACCATATCATTATCTAACCGAAATTCTCCATCTGAATGAATGTTGGAAAGTGGGACATAATTTAGAGTCAAACCTGTGTAAAACGGCCACCCATTGTCAAGGAGAAAAACGGCCGTTATTTATATTATAATATAACACAGGTGGCTGTCTTAGACAAGACTGATCAAAATGGAAGAAAACAAATCCTTCTCTTCTGAGGTCCAAACTGGGGCTGATCTCAGGCTTTAGACTGCCGTGAGGCTAATTCAAAAGAGATTTTGTTTTCTTTTGAAAAAGGGGGGTGGGTAATGTAAGATAAAGTTTTTTTTTGTGTTGTTGGTTTGTTTTTTGGTTAGCATTATTTTTGTTGCTGATTTTGTGCTGGGGTAAATGAACTTATTTTTTGTAAATAAGACGATGAAGACCGAATGCCATGGTAAAACAAACTCATGGGTTGCCACCACTCTGAGAATGAGCAACACTTCAGTCACAAGTTCATGTCAATGTTCATTGTTACTTTGTTACTGATTAGGTTAACAAAACAATGACCAGTCACCTCACATATGATTTGTGCATGAGTTGCGGGCGGGGCTTATAGGTTATGACGAATGACACGCTTCCCTTACCAGTAGTTGAAAATTTATTAGGCCTACCCATTGGTCAACTTGGGTAAACATTCATTGGAGGGACTAATAATTACAACAGGTGAAAGAATTATAACAGCCTGTCCACAGCATGAGGGGCTGATTCGAAGTTTATGACAAAGCGTTGGGCAATAAGTGACCAAGCCTGGCCGCCTGAGGCAGGTAAATTTGACTGTTGGTTGATAAAATAAGGTGGCTGCGGCCGTGTTGGACAGAGGTGACCGTTTTACACAGCATTTCTCAAAGTACTTTCAAAGTAGGCCAAACGGTTTTATGAATTATAAAATGGCATTTTAGGTTTAAAGATCATGAGTAAAATCTGGCGCTGGCCGCAATTTTGCATTTTGCTCTGATTGATTGCAGTAGAAATTTCATGCATTTTATTGCTATTGATTAAACTAGCGAAACCCAGTTTTATGAACTGGACAAAATCTAATTTTAGCAATGAAGAGATCGCAGACTGTATTACTGAGTATACAAATAGATCTATTTTCCTCTGTACTTTATAATATGAAATTAATGAAATAGTTTCTCTTTTTCTGGTCTGTCGTTCTGATCCACTCTTTTCAATCAGCTACTGTGTCTTTATCCTCTTTCTTCTCTCTGTTTCAGTCTTCATGTCTCATTTTTTCATGAGCAAATATCTCGAAGGGGAATTGAAGCATTTTACTTCGATACTAAAAATCTGAATGATATAAGCAGGGGAAGAGATTTTGTTTCATATGTCCCTTGATTTGGTGGTCCTGACGGTTAAGTTGAACTTAGGATGAGTTGCCTTTTTAAAAAAAATTCTCCAACGACATCAACTCATCCACATTTGACTGACATTATATCATTTCTAGGATTTTGATTACATTTTTTTGGCTGTGCTTCTGTGATATTTTAATGAACACACATTACCTGACCATTTTTACCAATGCATCAATCTGGAATTGAATTTTTTTTTTTTTTCAGATAAAGGCCTTGGAATTGGTCATCATAATTTCCAGCTGTTTTCCATGTCCAGAAGGTTTCTACTTACCTGGTGTGGCACCATCAGAATTTTCTTTCGGAAATGAGGTTGAAGTCAAGGCAAGTTCTTTTCCCTACAATTTTGACCCCCCCCCCCCCCTCCACCCATACACACACACACACCAAAAAACAATGTCTGTTATTTGCTTTTTACTCATGTCTTTCAAACATTTGTCTTATGTCATATTGTTTTTCTGTATGCCTTTTTAAAATGTTGCCCATTGAGCTTTTAATAAAGTCTTTCTCATAGTTTTTAAAGTGTACCTAAGTGAATTCAAAACAAGTAATAACTGTTGTCTTTTTTCAGAAATTCCATATACAGTAGTCTCCGCCTAAGATCCCGCTGCTTAAAATCCTGGTTTGCCTAAGATCCCGCTGTTTTAGAAAAAAAATAGATTTGTGTAGCGCAAATCCCCTCTCAACAGCAAGCTCTATGCGCTTCACAATCTATACTATTACCCCAGCAGACCTGAGAGAATTCTGAAACAACCTCAACTTCCTGGGAAGCATACAGGGCAAGCGGCCATTTATAGGCATTAAAACATACTGACAAGATCTTTCGCTGTCTATTGCCAGGTGCCAATTCCCACCTGGATGAAGTGAGGAAAATTTGTGTGAAGTGCCTTTCCCAAGGACACAACGTCGGGTCAGCGGCTTGAACGCCCGAACCCACTACCTCATGATTACGAGTCCGGTAGCCTAACCACGAGGCCACCGACGCCACATAAAAACAGAATTTTTACTAATATAAAAATCCCTGGCCCGCACTGAAGGAGCTACATTCAGCTAAGATCCCGCTTTTCAGGTCATAGTTTAGTTGTATTCTGTTTATTTTAAGTAAAAAAAAAAAAGAATAAGAAACCTGGGTGCGCTCAGCTGATCAACCAAGTAGCGAAAATGTGCGATCATTGTTCCGTCCATCGCGTCAGGGATCATCCATTCACATGAATGCAATCACACCTCTGCTGTAAATCTCGATAAGCGGTTACCATGTTTGCCCTAGATGGGATCTCACCAAGGTGTGAACTCGTCGACGCGTTGCTTTCCCCAATCACCTGAGCCGTCCGCCTGATCTTACATTTACATCACACACTAGGTGGGGAGGGCCTACAAGCAAGTATCAGACTGTATTCCATCAAACTGTGATTTCAAGGACACTTATGTTTCCCTGACCATCGCTCTCGTCTTTCAGTTTTGAGCTGGAACTCGTGGACTGTCCAATTGCCTTTGCGTAATGTGGTCGTCATCTGGCAGTGAACCTGCCATTCATAAAAAAAAAAATTATAGTCGGTGTTGTCACAACACAACGATTTACGATGCATCATGACATGGGCGGGGAACTCTGTCAGAGGTGGAAAGCAATAAATTTTTGATTGGGGGCATTGCCTGAAGCCAACTGGTTCCCACCTCACACGATATTTTTTTTGAAAGCCCCACCACCCTCTCCAAACAAAAAAAGAGAAAAAACTGACTTCTGAAAAGAACTTTTAGTGCCCAGGAGTCACGTCAGTTCATTTTAAAGTAAGGGAAGATCATTGTACAGATTTTGGGCCGGACCATGAGTTACTGTGGATTTTTCTCCCCAGCGGAGACTACTGTATCATAGGTTTCCATGTCTCAGCCTTCACCCGACATTTTCTCAAAATGTAGTCAAAGATAGTTTAGGACTCACTGCGGAATACATTCAAGTGTGCTTATTGAAAATTATTTTCCTTTCGCAAGTTGGTTTCGATTTTTGTCCGGTTGTTTTTGCAAGGTCAGGAAAAAATATGTTGTAAGTATAACACATGATCTCTGAGATAAGAAGGAAACTTTTATCATAAGGATAGCCACCTGCCATCATTGCTTTAGTACATTGCTGATGATTTCATTTTCCTTGAAATAGTATGTATTTAAAGACTGGCTCAATCTAATTGTACTACAAGTGACCTACAAAGTTCTAGAGTGGGAATATTTTGAGGTCAAGTAAAGTTTTTCCCCAACATTTAGTGATTATGTCCTATTCCCCAATGCACTTTCACTTTAAATTTTGTATTTAGTATATTATTACTTATTCATAGATTTTATCATTCTAATTTAAAAGTAGAAGTCTGGTAATTGCGATAATGATTTCAATGAAAGGTTTTTTTTTATAAAACTCAGGCGGTGAAACTGACCAGCACAAAGACCCAGCTTCCCTATGAGTACTACTCCTTGCCATTTTGTCCACCCTTGGCCGGTGTTGTCTACAAAGGAGAAAATCTGGGTAAGCCCTGTGAAACCCTGTTGAAAGGCATCTGACCTCTTTTCTGCATGTAATTAGTTTAGAGAAGCCTACACGGACATGGTGTTTTAGTCTGTTGGTTGTGTGTTTTCTTGTTTGTTTTTTTAACACTGCTTTTTCTGTATCTTCTTCCAGCTGGTCTCCCCCCACCCACCCAGGGCAGTGCTACTGACTTGACTGAAGTGTCTTTAAGCCATTCCCAAAGGGGGGGACATCAACATGTTCTAATGCACAGTAGAATTGTAAATGAGCTGATTCATCAATGTCATGCTCATAACTGTGCCTGAACTGCAACAGGGAACTGCCGCTTTTTCTTTCCTAATCCTTACTGTCGTCATTTTTCTTCTACTTCTTTTGTATGTTTGTCACACTCTAGTTTCCCGCTATTTCCGGGGTGCCTTGAGAGTCGAAGCAGACTTTGTGCTGTTGAAGCTACAGAGGAGAACAGAGTATGCCTGATTCCCCGTATGGACTTCTCTGTTGACATCCATGCCTTGGCGCTCATATAACCTTACGCAGTTGTGAGCACCGTAAACACTCTACTAAAACTAAAACCAGCTGGGTTGCAGCTACTGCTGCAGGTTCTGTGGCTCACAAGACCACTGCTTTTTAAATGATAGCTTTTGAGCACAAGGGGGCTATCCCAAAAAAATGATGTTTTGAGAGAATCGAAGGTATAGTTTTTGCCCCATGTTCAGTTTCTTTAGAAGACAAGAAGGGTTTTCACTGTAACAAACAAATATGCACACCAATGAAACCATTTTCCTTTAGGTAGGGCAATGCCCACTTTTGGTGTAGATCAAGATTTCTTGAAATCCTCGATATCTGGGTTACCCCGCTTGTCCTTAAAAGGGACCATGTGCCATAACCTATTCTCTTTCACATGCGTGCAGTGTTTCTTATCCTCCTGGGATGATGTGCTAATTTAAAAGTACTCAAACTTTTAAAACAAATTCTGCATTAAAAAAAAATCCAATGTTACTTTCTCGTGTTGTTTTTGCAATATGACAGGCTTTCAGGGTACCTTTTGTGTTGTCCATGTGAAACTACCTTAGGGGGCTCTTATGGCCTAGAAGTTAAGCTGTTCGCCTCTCATTGAAAAGTCTTGGATTCGAATCCGTATAGTGACGAAAAGTTTTCTTCTCTAAAAATTGTCTCATTTCATCTCCTTTCCTGCTCTGTAGCAATGTTTTGTCCTCTGCTTTCATCTACACTTTCTGCCCCCACCACCTCACCTCCTTTGCTCCCTCCTCTGGGCTCCTAACTCTTTCTGTAGCCTTTCTACTGCTACTCCTTGTCTCCTTCTTACTGCTGTCATTCAGCCACATCCCTGTTCTTCTGGTAAGATAGATTTACACCTAGCCTTCTCGGATAAGGGCGAAAATTCTCGAAAGTCCCAAGTGCAAGTTGCACACGTTTAAAATCCCTTGGTGGTATAAAATCGATAAGAGTGGGTTTCGGCTGCCACCCGCACAAAATTCAAAATTTCCTACAAACTGAAAATGTTTAGTGTGTGCCACACGTTCATATGGCCTTATGCGGTTGCGAGCACCGTAAAACACCCCAAAAAATAAAGCACTAAACTTTTAAAACAAATTCTGCATTGGAAAAAAGCCAAAATGTTGTGGGTGTCACTTTGTCAGGTCATTTTTGCAATGTGACGGGATTTCAGGGTACGTTTTGTATTGTCCATGTGAAACTATCTTACTCTTTCTATGCCTCTAAAGGGCTTTCTTTTGTGGGTGGTTGACAGGTGGTCTGGTGTGGTTTGCTCCTTCTTTCCTATCAAACTACTATCGTCTTGATCTCTTCTTCTTTTTTATGTTTGTTACTCTTTTGTGGCACCTCTAATCTTCAGCACGTATATGACATTATTGTGTTGCAAGTGGCTAAAACAGCACCTGGACATGGATGGCTGGTGCCTCTATAAATAAATCATTGATGGTCTGTGTTGCAAGTTCCATAAAACTCTTACTAAAACTAAAGGGATTTCCTTTAGTGGTTCAAATAAGGAGTTCTTTATATAGTCCATGCAGATCACTTACTCTGTCTTGTGTTGCTCTCTTCTCGGAAAGTGGATGTTTGGCGGGTGCTCTGGTGTAGTTTGCTCCTTCTTTCTTATCTAACATCTGTCATCCTCATCTCCTCTCTTCCCTTTTTTGTGTTTGTTACTCTCATGAAGCACCTCTAATCTTTCGCACTTGTATGACCTCATTGTGTGGCATGTGCCACAAAACTTTTCCTAAAATAAACTTCTCGAAAGTTTAATATTAAGTTATGTGTGGCCTACAAGCCAGTAGGGCTTTCAAAAAAGTGTTGGGTTTCTGTTTTTTAAAAATCATTTTGGAAAATGTATGTCGTTAAAAGTATTGGGTTGCCCCCTTCTTACTGCTGTCTTTCCTTCTCACCCCTGATCTTCTGGTAGGAAAGATCTTCACCTAGCCTTCTTGGAAAAGAGCGAAAAATCTCAGAGGTCCTGTGTGCAAGCTGCGCACGTTGAAGATCTCTTGGTGGTCCAAAATTGATAAGAATAGGCTACGACCGCCACCCCGGCAAAATTCAAAATTTCCTACCAACTGAAAATGTTTAATGTGTCTCGCGCGCTCATGTGACCTTATGCAGTTGCGAGCGCCGTAAAACGCTCCCCCCCCCCCAAAGTATTGGGACTCTGACTGAAAATACAATTTTACTATGAAAAGGGTTAGATCAAGTCAATTGTTTTTTATCAGAGTTTGTTGTGAGTGACAAGGTTACCGCATGCAGTCACAAGCATATTAATAAAGATGAAAAGTTTTTTTTATATATGATCTGTTCTGTTCTTTCTGTTTTCATTTTGATACTTTTATTTCACAGGGGAAGTCCTCAGAGGGGATCGGATTGTGACTACTCCATACATGGTAAAGCTTTCTATTTTTGTTGTATTTATTTATTTATAGGTACATCATTTCATTTCATGTTTGAGTGTTTTTGTGTGCAGCATAATATTAAAATGTCATCCGTTGGGTGGTTGGCGGGTGCTCTGGTGTGGTTTTCACCTTCTTTCCTATCAAACATCTATCGTCCTTATCTCCCTTCCTTCTTTTTTATGTTTGTTACTCTCTTGTAAAAAAACACCTCTAATCTTCGGCACTTATATGATCTTATTGTGTTGCCGTATCAGCTGGCACATCATCGCCTTTGTGATATGTCCGGTTGAATCCACAGAGTAAATTTGACAGAGGGAAAAAAATTGGTTTGGTTTCGTAACGCAACCACCTGGCAGTCAGCTTTTTTGCATGCTTGCACTTTGGAAAACTTCTGATCTCTAAACATCACTCCATAGAAAATGCCTTCCTTTAAAATGTTTGAATGTTGTGAGGTCAGTCTACGTATCGAAGGGTGTCCCATCGTATTTGTCCGTGTCTGTTGACCACCTCCCAGCAGGAGAAACAAACGGAAAATTAAAGATTTCATTACTGAATTCCAGGATTTACTAGACCTGCATACCATCAAGAAGACATAGCCTATAATTTTGGGGGACTTTAATTTCCTTTTTGAAGATACCTTAGACAGTAATGTTAAATCTATCAAATCTATTCTAGAGACTCGTGGTCACTATCGAACTCATCGATGTCCACACTCGCATAAAACCCCCCCCCCAAAAAAAACACACATTAGATTGGGTGATAACGAACAGTGTCAATACAATCGGTGACATTCAAGTTAAGAACAAAGGCATTTCTGATCACTACGTGGTGTCCTTTGAAATAACTCGTGTAGGGAAGCCCAAACTGAGACATCACAAAATATTAACACAGAAAACGGACATTGATAATGAAAAGTTTGGAGCGGACATTCGCCAGCTACTGAAATTCGTACTGGGTTCAACCTCCGAGAAAGTAAACACTTTCACCACCAAGATGTGTCGCCTACTGAACCAACGTACGCCAGTCAAATCAAGAATAGTGACTGATCGACCTTCTGCCCCATGGATGACTTTAGAAATTATACAAGCGAAAATGGAACGTAGACAAGCTGAGAGACACTGGAGATCAACCAAGCTAGATATTCATGAGGACATGCATAGACACTGTAACAACAAAGTGCAATTGTTAATAACTTAATATAACGTCTGCAAAATCCTGTGTTATAATGGAAAAATTAATGAAAGTACCCCCTCTAAAGCTTTATTTTGTATAACAAATCAGTTGTCTCTTAAGAAAGACCCGGCCAGCAACAAGTTCCCCTCGAATGTACCTAAAAGGGACCTTCCTGATGTTTTTGGTCAATAGTTTAGAGACAAGATTTCCACGATTAAGACAAAAATTGACATGACTCCCGATAAACAACCATGTTTTGAAACATTCTCTAGGGTAATCTTTAACCCTATCTGTACGCCCTGGGGTCATTTTGTACCCCAGCGGTAAATTCTTCACACATTAGATAGAATGCTTCTAGTTCGAAGATCTCATTGAAACTTTCAGTATTTCTCAAAAATCATTTTGACAGACTGCTATGCAAAGCGTACGGATCGGATTAACAAGTAATTTCCTCTTTGGAAAGTGGTGACACAGAGTTCCCCACATCGTATGGACATGATAGTAAAACACGACGTACGGATAGGGTTAATGAATTTGTATGTGTAACAAAAGATGTTAGATCAATCACAATGCCATCACCCCATAAAACACGTAGTCTTGATCCCATTCCAAGACCACTGCTCATCACACATCTTGATAGTGTTATTGGATCATAACCTCCATAATTAATGAGTCTCTTCAGTCTGGAGTAGTACCATCACTATTTAAGCATGCTTTAGTTATTCCCCTTCTCAAAAAATCAAATCTTTCCCCTGAGGAGCTCAAGAATTTCAGACCTGTCTCCAACCTTCCCTTTTTATAAAAAATCATGGAGAAAGTTGTTTTGGTTCAATTGAACAATCATTTAAAAGAAAACAATTTATACAAATTAGATCAATCTGCCTATCGGTAATGTCTTAACACAGAAACTGCGCTATTGAAAATGTTTAACAACCTATTGTCCGAGGGAGATGAGAACAAAATTTCAATAATTTCTCTTCTTGATCTTAGTGCTGCCTTTGACACTATAGATCTCACTATTCTTATTGCACTATTGTTCGACACGTTTGGTCTGTCTGGCAGGATTCTTTACTGGTTCAAGCACTACCTGATTGGCCGTACACAATCTGTGGTTGTACACGACTCTCTTTCGTCAATTTTTAAACTAGACTTTGGAGTGCCTCAAGGTTCAGTAATGGGTCCAATCTTGTATATGTTATATACACAGCCACTTGGAGCTGTGATCAGAAAGCACAAAATAAATTATCACATGTACGCAGACGATACACAGTTATACAAATCTGTTCCACCATCAGATGTTAAAACTTTGCTGACCACCATGGGTATGTGCATTGATGATGTCAAGAATTGGATGGTTGATAATAAGCTCCAGCTTAATGAATATAAAACTTAAATTCTTTTATGTAACCCAAAGAAAAGCCATATCCCCATAGACATTGATCATGTTTGTATTGAAATTGAAAAGGCAAAAAATCTGGGAGTGTATATTTTGATTCAAAATTGTCAATGGAACATCATATCAATTATTTATGTAGGCCTACCATTTTATATGTCTATGTTTTTGAATGAACACTCATTGAAAACGCTTGTGTCAACTTTCTCGTTTTCACGCTTCGATTATTGCAATGCTTTACCAGCTAACATATCAAATTTTACTCTTCACAAGTTACATTTTTAAAATCATGCTGCTAGGCTTGTACTAAAGAAAAAGAAGAGGAATCACATTACTCCCATGTTAAGAACGTTGCATTGGCTCCCAGTGTCAGCTAGAATGTCATATAAAATTGCATTATTATGTCATAAATGTGTCAATAACAAAGTTCCTTCATATCTTAGTGATCTCATCCATATTTATGTTCCATCTAGATCACTAAGATCAGGTGATCAGTATCTTTTAAGAGCTCCTAGAAAAGGAGGTAAAAAATTAGCTGAAAGATTGTTTGCCCACCTTGCTCCATTAGTTTGGAACTCTCTTCCCCTACCCTTGAGACATACAACATCTGAGTCTAAATTTAAAATATCTTTAAAGACACTTTTAATGTCATAATTTATATATCAGTAGATTCATGTTCGGTACAATGTTATGTAAATGACTAGGTATCCATTTGTGTATTTTGCGAATTGCATTATGTATATTATTTTATTATGTATATTTATTATTGTATGTGCTCATTTCGTAACAATGTGTAAGCGTGCGCATGTGATATAAGTAAGTAGATATGTGTGTGTGTGTGTGTGTGTGTGTGTGTGTGTGTGTGTGTGTGTGTGTGTTCGGCGTGCCTGTGTGTGCACGTGTGTGTGTGTGTGTGCGTGTAATGTGTGCATTAGTGTGTTTGTGTGTGTGTGTACGTGCACGTATGTGTGAATATTGTTCGTACATGCATTTATGTAAAGTGCCTAGAGCTGTGTTCACACGGGAGTGGTCGCTATAGAAAGGATCTACATTATTATTATTATTATTTTTTGGGGGTGTGTTTTCTTATTCATTTCTTGTTTTAGTTGGAACTACGGTTTGGGTTTAAAAAAAATAATTGTCACAGAGAACATTTACTTTTGAACAAGTCTTATGATGGTTTTTGTGTGCTTGCACTTTGGAAAACTTTAAATTTGTCATACGTGAGACTCAAGTTACGGGCACAGCATTATCTTGATATCTTGCTGGTGCAGATGAGTCTGGCTCAAATCCCGTTCAGGGCATTCTTGAATTTGTTATTTTTTGACGTCCAAAAGTCTGGAGGTCCTGCTGCAGTTTTAAATCTTTGCCTCCAGTACTTTGAAAATGCTGTGTGAAGAGTTTATGAGCACTTTTCCTTTTTATCTATTCAGGTTAACATGGCTCATGATGACAAGTGTAAGGTTTTATGTCAGGACAAAGACAAAAAATACGTCTCCAATCGACTGTCTGAAATTTCAAGCAAGGCATTTGCAGACAAAATTAAACATGACTATTATGTCCATTTGTGAGTATTTTCATTACCTATTGTCTTGTTGACACCTTTATAAGCTAAAGGTGACGTTGAAATGTAGCAAGTTTTTGATTGTTTGAGCGATAAATGCAGTCTATATTTATATTGCCAAAGGGACGAGGGGGGTTTGTCTTTGAGATGAGAAACAAGAGGAGAGATGAAAGGGAGCTGTGTATATAGGTTGAGGGAGGGGTGGGGGGGGAGGCTGATGTCACAGAGTAAAAGGTGCAATATTGGGAAAGTTGATTGGAGAATCAGCAGTTGATTATCCCTGAGATAAAGGAAGGGTGTGAAGAAAAGTAAATGCAAAGTTTAAAGAATTTTTTTTCAAGACCACAGGGGATACCTACTGACCTTGCCTTAACTCTTTCTCTCCGGCAAGCCGCTCCCAGGGGCTCGCGGTTGGAACCACGGTGCAGTTGAGCCACTGAGAGCGGCTTGGGCACATTCCTTTACGATGACTTCGATATCAAATTACTTTTTGGCAATTGCTGAAAACAGGTCTCTTAAACTGGAAGTTCATTCATTATATGAAGAACTATCAAAATAGGTTAGCTAGTTTCAATTTAATGACCCGGTTAGTGACATTTTTGTCATTTTTAGATTTAGTACCAAAAAAGGGCCCCGGTGTAGTGGGTTTACCCTTCTCGGAGATAAAGAGTTCAACCATTAAAAGTGTTTTTCTTAAAACATGAAATGTGAAATATCTTTCGAAGTTTGTTACTGTGGTAGCAGACAAGGAGTGCCTCCGATGTTTAGTTATCATGGCCATAAATTGGTACTCTGTTAAGGACTCATGATCTGCGTTTACTTGTTCCTTCAGAAACAGACTGCCCCCCCGGGGCAGTGTCACTGACTGAAGTGTCTTTAGGCCATTCCCAAAGGGGGGACATTTCTCGTTCTAGCACAGTAGAATGGTAAATGGGCTGATTCATCATGTGCCTGATCTGCAACTGGGGACTGCTGCTTTTTCTTTCCTTATCCTTGCTGTTGTTATTTTTCTCTACTTCTTTTGTATGTTTGTCACACTCTTGTGACCCGCTATTTCCGGGGTGCCTTGATAGTCGAAGCTGACCTTGTGCTGTTGAAGCTTGAGAGGTGAGCAGAGTAAGTCTGATTCCCTGTAAGGACTTCTCTGTTTACACCCACCCCTTGGCGCTCATATGACCTTATGCAGTTGCGAGCGCAGTAAAACCCTTTACTAGGAAAAAAAAAAGAAACAGACATGTGTATAAAGGCCTAGTTGTGAGTCAACTTGTCGAAAACCTTATTTCTTTTTTTTAAATTTTGATTTTCTTTTTCTATCAGAATCACTGACAATCTACCATGTGCAACTCGCATCTCCATGCCTGACGGTTCAACCATATATGAGCATGGTTATCGCTTGGGATATGTCAGTGGAACTGAGGTAATTGTAGAAAGATAATCCTAGGGAGATCTTGGAATTGTGATGGTTCTGAAAGTACAGCCTGCACTATTAGCAAACTGAACTCACTTTGTTTTTTCCCAAAACTAAGGGAGCTAAAATTTAAAATTGTTTTCAAATAAAAGTTGGTCTTTTTTGCCTTCTGAAAATTCTTCAATAATCATGGTGCTCATTTCTGGCTCTTGGATGTTGATTTTGTACTGTCAGCAAAGATTTGCCACTGTATGATTAATACTGCTTTGTATATTTCAGGCTTATCTGAACAACCATTTATCTCTCACGCTGAGATATCACAGGAGAGAAAAGTGAGTACTACGCTGATTTGTTAAAAGCTTTTTTTGAAAACTTGATAAAGCGCTGCCGTCATTATATGGTTGTAGAAGGGGGCTGTGTGCCTTTAATGCTGCCACTTTTGTTTGTGTTTTTCATGGACGGTGAGTCAGAAAAGTAAAATTTTCTTTTGAGTAGCATATCCTAGCCAATCTTCCTGGGACAGAAAACAAACATTTTAAAAATGACTTTCCTGCGTGCATTAAAGAGATGGCTCTGTCCACCATTATTCTTTACATTTTGTAGCGCAGACTTCAACATTTTGAGTTCTGTGTTGATATATGTTTGGATGAAAGTCCAATCAACTGCGAGATCTCTGACTCACCTCACAAATTACTTTTTCGTGTGTGGTGAATTATTGTTCCTTGCCTTTGAGGCAGTTGTGCATCCCTTGAAGTTTCAAGAGATATGTGTATAGGCAGATGAAATGATGGAAATGCAATTTTTCTTTCATTTTAATGTGTAATGTCTTTCTTTCATTTGTCAATTGTCTTATAATTTGCTTGGACACCTTCTGTGTTGGTCTCTATCTGGCCGTGGAATACAAATTCATGCTGCTAATACACAAAAGCTTGAAGTTAAAAATTACAAGAGGGTTGTCAATTCTGTCTTATGCTTTTCCTTCCTGGAAAGTCAGGTATCTTGTTGAAGGTACCCAGATTTTGTTACAATAAAAACTGTAGGTGTTTTATTATAATGCCCCCATTGACACAGTGTACATCTCATTAAGGTGGGCTTTGACCATGCCCGTCCCAGGCTGAGAGAGATCTGTCCATGTAGTGCTACTGACTGAAGTGTCTTAAGGCCTTTCCCAAAGGGGGGATATTAACATGTTCTTATGCACAGTAGAATTGTAAATGGGCTGATTTATCAATGTTATTTGCTCATACTGTGCTGAAACAAAATACGGGGAACTGCTTCCTCATCCTTACTATCGTCATTTTTCCTCTTCTTCTTTTGTATGTTTGTCACTCTCTTGTGAACTGCTCTTCACTCTCTTGTGAACTGCTCTTTCTGGGGTGCCTTGATAGTCGAAGCAGACTTTGTGCTGTTGAGGCTAGAGAGGTGAGAAGAGTAAGCCTGATTACCGTTTGGATTTTTCTGTTGACATCCACCCCTTGGCGCTCGTATGACCTTATTCTTATGCAGTTGCACGTGCTGTAAAACCTTTCTAAAACTAAAAACTATTCCCACACAGGAATCATGCTTGGGTCTTCTGTGTGCTCCAGCAAAGTGCATAACCGCTGTGCACAGATTGCGACCCCAGTGCTTTCTCGTCCTATCTCCATTTCTAATAACAGTGAAAACAGTTCATAACAAAGAGTGAGCTTAAAAAGAAGTCACATTTTCAATGTTTGAAAACACCCAGAAAGCACTGAGTCACGAGATGCTGACTAGATTATGTGTCTAGGAGGATGTCAGCAAAAAAAGTGCTTTGTTATTTCATCTTATATAGATCTAGTTTGTATTTTATAGGGTTTGACAACAGTTGTTGATTTGTGTTCTTTGTCATCAACAGTGACAAGTACAGAGTTGTTGGATTTGAAGTCAAACCTCAGAGGTGAGTTTCATTTTACATTAGTGGAATGTAGTTCTCAAAGAAGAGGTTTCATTGTGATGTTAATGTCTTATTATTCAGAGAGTTGTACCATCCAGATATCTAATTAAAACAAAGGAAGAGAATGCCTGACACTCGGTTAAGTATTTTGTTTTAGTTTTGGTATGCATTTGACAGGGTTTGCTTATAGATGTGATGACTTCACATTTTGGCTGTTATTAAGGTTGCTGCGGCCTCCTTGAATTCAAGTAGTCCTTGAAAACTCCTTGAATTTGCATTCAAGGTAAAATCTCCTAGAAAATTGTTTTAATTTGAGTAACCTCCTTGAAAACTCATTGAATTTTTCTGGATGGAACATGAACAAAATTTTTGTAGGAAAATAGTAACTATGATTCCTTTCGGACAAGTGTGGGCCTATCGGAAATAAGCTTTCGGCATGAATTTCTTAGCAAATCTCCTTGAATTTTAAAAATTTCTCCTTGAAACGTCTTTAAAATCTCCTTGAATTTGGTGGGGAGTTAATGGCAGGAACCTTGAGTAATATTTCATTCCGTGTACACATTCGCACTGTGTGTCCATAAATTAACAATCCTTTGAAAACAGTTGTTCTAATGTTAATTAATTCAGATTGTTCTATGTATGTTTTCATATTTTTGAGTCTTTTTTTAAAATCCATCTTCTATCCTCAGTATTAACTTTGGTGAAATCAAACCAAACGAAGATGGATCATGCACATTTAATGACCCCAAGAATCCCCAAAAGATCAATACCAACGGTATGTACACAGAATAGATAATAAACTTCTTGCAGCTGATTGCTTTTACAATATTTTTCAGATTCACATTGTATTCTGTAATACTTAATGTATATTGCCAAATGAAAATTCGTGATGTGCTGCTATTTTGGCCTCAGACTAGCACAAACTGGAGGTATTTTTCATAGGGCATAGCCATGCAGGGTGAGCAGTTTTGGCACTTTGAAATATTTTAGTAATTTATCACCAAAAGTCATTTTACCACTTCTCGTTACACTGGCAAAGTTAAGCTTGGTTAACTCTATCCGTACGTCGTGTTTTACTATCGTATCCATACGGCGTGGGGAACTCTGTGCCACCACTTTCCAAAGAAGAAATGTACTCGTTAATCTGATCCGTAAGCTTTTGTATAAAAGTCTGTCAAAATGTTTTTTTTTTAAAGTACTGAAAGTTTCAAAGAGATCTTTGCACTAGCAGTATTCTAAAATGTGAAGAATATAACCCCTGGGATGCAAAATGACCCCAGGCGTCAGGGGCGGCTCGTGGGGCTAAAAAGTGGACGTGCACAATTAAGCAAAAGAAGGTTGAAGATAATCAAGGGCATAGTAAATGGGATGGTAGGATCTTTGGGTTGATGAAGGAGGGCCTTATGCTTTTATTTTCATTCTTTTTACTGGTCGCTTTGATTTCTGGAACTAAATGTTTCAGCTAAATATCAATTTCTTTATCCTGCATTGGAATTGAACACTCAAGTAATCATTTTCATCACTCCACTACAAAACCATTGAAAGGCACAACTCCTAGGGCGGTGACTTAAGTATGTCACGTTCACCTCCCTCAGGTTCACGGTCACAGAGTCGCTTAAAATAGTAGCAAGACAATGAACCAATCACAATTCACTTGAGCACTTCACTGGATTGCTCCGGGGATCACATAATTTTGGCATTGAATGGTGTCGCGTTTATTTTTAGACTGCCTACTGTGGGCTATGTTTCGTGGGTGCACATTTGAGATGTGCCGTCTTGTTAATATTAATGTACCGCCAAACTCGCTACGAATGTCGTCTTCGCTTGGGTTATCCCAAAGAGCGATTTATAGGTCAGATTGCCACTGTTGAATATTCTATTACATTTAGTTAAAACGTGTGGACTTTGGCATGGCATAGTAGATGTTTTACGGCGCTTTTGACTCTGAAATGACAGTTACAGCGCCAGCGAGGACCTTGGCTGGTGTTTGTTTCTGACTTCTTTTATTTCATGTTTGTGGGTGCTTTTCGTAATAGAACATTTAAAAATTTTGGGCGGCACTGCTCGACCGTGATCTATGGACGAACCTCGCCTGCCAGGCGTACTGATAGGGTTAAATAATACTATTTCAAGTTTGTGTGCATAGCGCAAACAAAATTACAACCAGAAAGTGGTGTCTTGAAAGATTTTGAACAATGATTTTAGAGTGTTCTCAAAACATAGATTTTTTGTTATTTGGTTTAGGGTCTGCTTTTATTTGATTTAATATTTTTTGCAGTATGGTAAGGGAATCGTAAATAATGTGGAAATGAAAAGTATTTAGTTTTTTTTTGGTGAAGGTTTTTAATGCCATTATCAGATACAAAAGCCCAATTTTTGTATCTCATGCATGCTATAGACAACTCTGAAATACACAAGTCATTGTCTTTTTAGGAGGAATATATATATTTAGTTTATGTTTGCAGAATGGAATGTGCCGTGATTGATCGACTTTCATTTAAATCAAAGACCGAGATAGGCCTGACATTTTTTGTTTTGTTGATATTTTGACGTGTGAGCATATTTTTAGGTTATCCATTCATTTTTTTGCTTCCCAGGAGAGACAGATGTTTTGTTCACTTACTCTGTAAAATGGGAAGAAAGTGATGTAAGCTGGGCTTCAAGATGGGACATATACCTGGCTATGAGCGATGTACAGATCCATTGGTTTTCCATCATCAACTCTGTTGTGGTCGTATTCTTTTTATCGGGTGAGCAAAATATCACTCATTAAGCCCTGAAAGAGTGCTTGTTAGCATAATAGAATGTTCTTCACGGCGCACCAGCAGCGGAATTATAGTTCCCCGCCTACTGCTTTATCACGTCGGGGTCACGGGGGTCAGTGTCAGCTCCCTGTGGACGCTCGGTCCGGGCTGACTTACTTTTTGGTACTTTTCAACTTCAAGTTTTTGGTGTATCCTTGTAGTTATGGTAATTGTCATTTAATGCACTCAAGGCACACATTTCTGCTCTTGAGACTCAAAAAAGAACAGACATTTTAACTTGTATGGTTATTTCGTAAGACACGCTGAAGTCGGCTGTGCTAAATTGTAAAATCTTTTGGACAGGTGTGAATGAAAAAAAATCAGTATATAAAAGCGGCTTGACAAAAACTGTCGAACATTTGAAACATGAAAGGCCTAACATAAATGGAGATACTCAGAAAAGACAGTATCTTCGCATAAAATAGAAAGCAGTAATTTTACAACTTTATCCATCTGACACACAATTCGCTAAGAAGTAATTCCTCCGCATACAACCGTATGTGTCTAATACTATCATGAATATTCGCATATTTTCTGGAAAGTATTACCCTGTAGACTCTCTATGAAGAAGTAAAAATATTTTAGTGCCAGAACACATCTACAGTGCATACAATACATGAACTGTATCTGTTACACTCCAGAAATTCTTTACTTGTCTGAAAATGCCACATCTAGGATTTATTAGTTGACTGACTAACACGGATGACTTATCATAACGGGGTTTCAGAATTAATTTCTAGCTTTCCAGTGACACTGAATTAACACCACACCTTTCCAGCTTTTATTTTTGTTTCTTTGACCATTTGCAATAACTGACAACATTCTGATTTCTTTATATTCGTAAGTGTCTTTGTATATTTCCGACAGGGAACTGCTGCTTTTTCTTTCCTGATCCTTACTATTGTCATTTTTCCTCTTCTTCTTTTGTATGTTTGTCACTCTCTTGTGACCTGTTATTTCCGGGGTGCCTTGATAGTCGAAGCAGACCTTGTGCTGTTGAAGCTAGAGAGGTGAGCAGTCTAAGTCTGATTCCCTGTAAAGACTTCTCTGTTGACACCCACCCCTTGGTGCTCATATGACCTTATGCAGTTGCGAGCGCCGTAAAACCCTCTACTATTTAAAAAAAAAAAGAAGTATATTTCAGACACAGAAACTAAGAATGAATGTGGTAGCTGTCATTGTGTTTATTCCTCAAGAACTTTATCTCTACCCATGTATTTACACAGTTTTAAGTTTTAGAAAAATCGCATACCTTTTTAAGTTGTATGCAAGGCATGAGTCGTGAACAAAGGCAGAATGTCTTTCTCTTGTTTAATGGTAAAACAAGAGCCAATGCTGAGTGTATTTTGTCAAAAAATGCAGATGTGCATCTTTTTTCTCTTATAACTTGACTATTACTACCTGCACAGATTGAAGATTTCTCATGGTAAAAGACGTAATATTTGTTGCCAGTTTAACACAGATTTTTTTTAGATCTGTAGAGCTGTTTTTAAATAAAAGATCATTTATTTATAAGTATGTAACTAGAATAGGACAAATTGGGTACTCTACAAACACTTGTCTAGAGCTGAAACTAATGCACAGAATTTAACCATTCTAATGCAGAATAAATCTCAAGACATTGAACTTTTAATGCATCAGTGTAATGGTTTGTTGTGTGGGATGGGGAAGAAATTGTTTTGTTTCAAATTTAGACGAAAATGCAAACTTCTTCTTAAATGACACCTGCAAAGCTGCTTCAGGGGTCATTAACCCCCTGACCCTGAGCCACGGAGCTCCGATGGGCTCATGAGTTACATTAACAAAATCTGGCAAAAAGTGACACTGTATCTTTGATTCAGATCTGTGCCCTCTATGTGTTTTCTTTGAGGTATAATTCAAAGACTGTTGATTATTTGTAGTCTTTACTACTGATGTGTGCAGATGAGCTTGGTGTGTCATTGTCAGCACCTGAAAAGAAGAGTTAAAAACCTAAGTAAGTGAATTTATGACTTCCATGAAAGGTTGGAAGCAGATTTGGATCATTATTGAACTGATAGCTTGAACAATACTTATATTATTTCCATAAAGAAATGTTAGTTCTTGTTTGACCACAGTATGCTTCTTTCTTTCTTTAATTTGTGGAAAAAACATTTCTGTCACAGGAATATTGACAATGATTATGGTGCGAACACTGCGCAGAGACATTGCACAATACAACAAGGATGATGATTTGGTAAGTATCCTTGTCTTGAGCATTCAAACGGTCAAAGTTAAGTACTGGGTGGATGTAATTCTATGATTTTGAGAAGTAAGCATTTTTGTTATTTGAAACCATAAACTGTTGTTTTAAAAGCAGTCGTTGACCATTTGAGAAATGCAAGCTTCTATTCCTTGTTTTCTATGGATGTGGCAGACAGGTGCAGTGGTTGAAGCTTTGAAAAAAATGTGTAGAGCATTGATGCTACTTATTTACCAACATGTTTCTCTCCAGTTCTGTTCACTTCCACCTCTCTTCTTTCTAATGACTGTGCCTAGTGCTTTGCCGTCAGAATAATATATTTGTTGAAAGTATGGTTGATTTGCTGAAGAAACTAAAATAAAAGGTAACCCATTCTGATTGCACAGTGCCGCTTAAAACTAAACTGTCATGAGCGTAACTGTCAAAAGGAGAAAAGGAGAAGTCTTAAAAATTAAAAATGCTTATCGAATGTGTGATGACAGGATGAAACTGTGGAGGAGACTGGCTGGAAGCTAGTCCATGGAGATGTCTTCAGACCACCCCGTTTCTCAAAGCTCCTGACATCTTTCGTTGGAGCAGGGATACAGATATTTTGCATGGCTCTCATCACTATCTGTAAGTAACATTTGTCTCTCAAAGTCGAGGTGAATGTCAGATTCAGAGAGATGCCAGTTCTGAAGTGCCCAGGGGATGCTAGTTTGTTTTAACCCAATGAACTCTAGGCTCTAAGGCCTAAAAACCCTGCCCCTGGGCTCCCAAGCAAAATTCAAGAAAACAGACGTGCTTTTAGTATTGTGTTAGTCATCATCCTTCCATTTATCTCTGTCGTGGGCCATCCTTCATAGCTCATTCCAATTGAGCTTCATCTCTCTCATGTCCCTTTCCACACATTGTGTTAGTACTCATGCAAAAACACAAATAAAGTCATAAAATTGTTCCTACCCTCCTATTTCCTATCTTCAATACTGTTGCTTGGTGTGCCAATCTGTTTGTCTGTCTACTTCTGGGTAGGTTCAGGGTCTAAACAGTCCACCCCAAACTCCGAAATATCGGGGTCTCAGGGCATGGACATTTCTGTTGCACCCCAATATATTGGGGTCTCTGGTCCGTTGGGTTAAAGCATGGCTGATTTTAATAGAATGTGTGAATTGAGGCGGGATAGATGTCTAATCCCCTGATTGTGAACTTTGTTTGCTGCCTGGCACACTGTGCGATATGTTCTTCAGCATTTTAGCAGTCATTGTAAATATAGAGGAGATTCAGCCCTGATTTTTACAATTCAGATTGGCTTTGTTTACAGTCGTGGTGGAATATCTGTTTTTGTATGTACAAGCCTGATAGTTGCTTACTTTTGTGTGTGTTTGTGTGCATGTGTGTGTGGGAGGGGCGGGGGTGGGTGTGGTCTCACTCCCCACCCCACCCCACCCCACTACCACCACCACCATTTTTCCTTTCTTCTTCGTTACCCTAATCAGTGGGCCTAGTGCACTGCTTTCAGAGTGACCGGTTTACATTAACAAGTTTAAAAGAAACAAAGTAAATGCAACTCGTTCGTGTGACAGATCGGACTATGAAATATTCATGTCAACAGTTTTCCTGGAATACTTTGCTTTGGGTGAGCAGAGGAAGCTGATATGACTGGTTTGGGTTTGGGTAATTGTTAAACTCTTTCCTTACTCTCTTGTATCCACAGTTTTCGCTATGCTTGGCATGTTGTCTCCTGCTGCCAGAGGCTCTCTTATGACTGTTGGCATTTTCCTCTACATGTTCATGGGGTAAGAAAGACATTTGCTGTGTGCCTTGAGTGTACGCATATACAGTGCTTCCACTCTTCCGTATTTTTACGGAAATCCGTACTTTCTGCCAGTTCCGTACTTGTCCCTCCATCATTATCTACTCCCTCCGTAAAAAAATGCGACTGCCGAAATTCTGTACTAGCCTTCGTATCGTCTTGTATATATGTTACGGGTATTTACGGTAATTCTCTCGGCAGCAAGTTAAAGTTATAGTAACCTGCCAGATTGCGAATTTCCTGCAATCGGCCATTTTTCTGCTATGTCCTATGCATTCATTGCGGGTTGGTCGGCAGTACATTTTTTACCTGCGGATGGATCAAAATCTGGCGAACCGTTTGTTCCAATTTCCTCCTTTCTATCATTCACTCATTCCTTCTGTCTATCTTCGGATTGTTGCCGCGGCTGGAAAATCTGCATGTTGATCAAGTAAATTGACTTGTGATCTTAGACAGAAAATTACTGTGAGAAAGAAACATTTCACTGCAAATTTGTCTAGATCTAGAGAAATTATCAATGCGAAGATTCTACGGCACGTGAACGCAATAAGGGCCACGATGAAAGAAATATGCTGATACGGGGGTGCCCACAACGGATAGGATCGGCCGATCGCGCTGATTGCCGGACTTGGCGCCTCAAAAACAAACGTGTTTTCAGTTTCAGTTTCAGGCGATCGAGTCGGGCGATGGGCTCGATCCAGCTGTAGGTAAAATAAAAAATAATTCGAAGTGGTGTTCCGAGGTTGTGACAGGCGACAATCAGAGGTGAAAATTGAGAAAAAAAATTGGGTATGCGCTGCTCAACTGTATTTTGAAGGTACATCTATTTATTATTCCCAGGTTTGCCTGCTATCAATGGTGTGATGAATTGAATTATAGTAGCAATGAAAGGGGAACCTGCTTTTAAGCATTGCCAGCAATGGAAAGATATGTTGGTGAAGAAATCAAACAAAACAAAAATGTTGGTGAAAAAATAAATGTTATGGGCTGTAGGAAATCTCTTCAAACAGGCTCCCAAATGCCATTTTCAAACCTCTAAAAGCACTAAATTTCAATTTCTTCGGGGGCTTCGCGCCCTGAACCCCTAACGGGACGCTGTCCCTGGACCCTACTGGGGCCCCCTGCGGCCCCCAGGCCCCCTGCAGAATTTTCCTTACTTTTCACCTTCGGCTGGTGGAAGCACTGTATATAGTAGGTGTACGTATTTGAAAAGTTTTGACAACAGTGATATGTGTACAAATGTGTGTGAGTAAGTGTTAGTAGGATCTCATCCAGTAGAACTGAGCAAATTTTTATTCCAGTTTCAATACTCCAAACTTAACGTTTTTAAAAATGTTTTTTGTTTCTTTTTCTGTTAAGTGCCTCTACCAAGTGTCAGTTTTTTAATGTGGTCGGAGGAGTGAAATACTGCAGTTTTTAAGGTCTTGGGTTTTAAGTACTCTTTTTTTTTTCAGTCTTTTGATTTTTAAAAAAATACAAGCAATTATTTGTTTCATAATTTTGTGAAAAAGCCACGTTACACATCATGCTCTCAATCAAATCCTTGCGTCCGGTCTCAAATTAAATATATTCTTCGCCTTTTTGGGGGGATGAGTGATAAGTAGGCCTACTGTTTTTCTTTCAGGCTGTTTGCTGGCTACTTTGCAGCTCGATTGTACAAAACAATGAAAGGTCTTTTGTGGAAAAAAGCTGCCTTCCAGGTAATTAGTTGTCTTTTAGCTTTTATGGTTTAGAAAAGGTTCTCTGTTCTTTAGGTTTCTTTCATTTAATTAATCCGGTTTAAAACTAGATATTTATGAGCCATGTTTGTTGTCTTAAGTGAACTTATTTTACTTTTATTAAGGAAATTTCTTTATGAGATGGAAGAGGGCTTGAATTTGAAGCTGAAGTGGGATGAGGTTCTTTTCTCTGCTTACCATCCCTCTTAAAGAGGCTGAAAGAAGATGGGGATGCGAAGGAGAGAACATAGATACGGAGGATGACTGCCTTTGTCTGATTGCATGGAAAAGTGTGTGTTTGTGATAGGTAGGCCTATATAAAGTCAAACTTGTCATAGACAACCACCTTTTGTCCAGGAGAAAAGTAGTTGTCTTTCACAGTGTCATTATGATATATATATAGAAAAAAAGGCAAGGGGTGGAGCAGGAAGTAGTCGCTTGTACAGGTGATTGTCTTGGACAGATGGCTGTTAGAATATAATATAAGTCAGTGCGTCCTTTCTTTATGGAATATTGGTTTTTTTTCTACTTTACCCTGGTACCTTGATGGAAAATGAGGGAAGGGAGTACACCATCATGAAATGGCCCTTTCAATACCTCTCATAATCATTGTGCGCTTTTTATTTCTGGTACTACTTAGATACTCGTGTCATTTCTCCCCAGACTGCTACTGTGTTCCCTGGCATCATGTTCGGCATCTGCTTGCTCCTAAATTTCTTTATTTGGGGAAAGCACTCTTCAGGGGCAGTAAGTATAGTTTTGCTTTTCTCTTTGACTAGCAGAAATACAGTAAGGATAGTTTGACTTTTTTATTTGACAAGCAGAAATACCGTAAGGATAGTTTGACCTTTTTATTTGACAAGCAGAAATACAGTAAGTATAGTTTTACTTTTTTATTTGACAAGCAGAAATACAGTAAGGATAGTTTTGCTTTTCTCTTTGACTAGCAGAAATACAGTAGTCATGTAGGTTGTATTCATGTTTTAGGGTTGCTGTCACTGTTCTGGTCTTTCTTATTTTTCTGTCTATCCCTATCGGTTAAAAGAAAAAGACAGTAAAAAAAATGCTACTTTTAAATTTGTCAAAAGAATTGACATTTGGGTTCATCTTGAGGACTGGCGGCACTGTCACGGGTTTCCTTGTGAAGGAAAATGAACGGACAGTATTGGAGTCCCTTTTTGGTACCATTAAATTCTTGCTTTGCTGGTTTTCTTCTTTATGATGTTTCATTAATGTGTTTTTTTGTTGTTGTTTTTTTTCATCCAGGTTCCGTTTACCACTATGCTTGCCTTGCTGTGCATGTGGTTTGGTATATCTCTGCCGTTGGTCTTCATGGGATTCTATTTTGGATTTAGGAAACAGGTACGTCATTTGAAAGATGTTTATACCCAGTGCTTTTTGGTTGTCATGAATCTTTCCTTGTTGAAGTTAACAAGTTCTTATTAGAGCATATTCTGCTTCTGATTATAGATATAGTAAACATTTCTCAGAATATAATAAAATAACAATTTGAACAAGTTTTGAAATATCCCCCTTCCCTAGTACATTGTTGGAGGGCACTTGTGGTAGGTTTTACTTGTTTACTGTCTGTTTGTCTCGCTCTTTTTAAAAAAAATCATCTCAGAAAGACAATTATCGTCTGTATAATATATGCTTCTTTTTATAAATGAATCACCCAGAAATGCAATGGTCTTTGCCTATGCAGTTGTGAGCGATGTAAAACTTACTAACTTGTTTTCTTCTTTTGACTGTGTTAATGAGATTTAATTTCGCAACAATGGGTGGTTGGTGGGTGCTCTGGTGTGGTTTGTTTCTTCTTTCCTATCAAAGATCTATCGTCTTTATCTCCCCTCCTTCTTTTTTGTGTTTGTTACTTTCTTGTAACACCTCTGATCTTCGGCACTTATATGATCTTATTGTGTTGCAAGTGCTGTAAAACTCTTACTTAAAAAAGCTTTCTTCTTTTGACTGTGTTAATGAGATTTAATTTCACAACAGGCTTATGAACATCCAGTGAGGACAAACCAAATACCCAGACAGGTTCCTGAGCAGACTTGGTACATGAGTCCTTTCCTGGGGTGAGTGTTGTGTGGTGTTCATCTTTTCTAAAAAAGTAATTGCCATTTAGTAGCCGGCAGGATGAAAGCAATATCCGCCTTAAAGCATGCTGGCAGCCCAGAACGAACATTTTTACTACATCAGTACTTCCAATCTTCCGTATTTTTACGGAAATCTGTACTTTCTGACAGTACCGTACATACTCCTCCATCATTATCAACCCCATCCGTAAAATAGGTGCGATTGTGTAAGGCTGCCGCCATGCAAAGGATCCGTACTGGCCTTTGTATTGTCTTGCATATATGTTCCAGATATTTACGGTATTTCTCTCGGCAACAAGTCAATATTATAGAAACCTGCCAGATTACGCATTTCCTGCATTCCGCCATTGTCCCACTTTGCATCCATTGCGTATGCGTGTGTGTTCATGTTTGTGTGGCGTAGTGGTTAGACTCTTTGCTTTGCACGGTTCCCATGTTGGACAGTCTATTTTATTTAGTATCTCTACCTTTCTGCCGGGATGTTGTTTCCAACAGAGCTTGGGTTGGTCCCGGTATGTGGGTCAAAGCAGTCCACCTCTTAAATGGTTAACATTGGGTTGATTGTGGTGTAACATTTGCAGTCAAGTGGAATAATAAAAGTTACATGTACATTTTTTTTTTTTTAGTAAGAGTTTTACGGTGCTAGCAACTGTTACATGTAAATACTCTTTTTTCAATCAGAATCTGATATGCTTTATTGTCATTCTGCATTTTTGGTATTATGAAAAATAAAGCTGAGACTTTGACTAAAACGCCAGCTCATTTCAATTCGTGTAAGGTCAACCTTTGGGGTTTTCTTTTAGATGTCGTCACACATATTTACTCGCTTGTACACACACACAATGCTTGAGAGATGTGCATGAGATATATGAGTTTTATGTCTATCATTTTTGTCTGCATGTTCTGTAATGTTTTGTAGTCTTTTAACCGTTCAGTTATAATACTAATTTTTGTGAAATGACTCTTCTTCTTCAGAACTCTAATGGCTGGAATACTTCCGTTTGGTGCCATGTTCATTGAGCTTTTCTTTATATTTACCGTAAGTTTGTCAATTATTGTCTTATCCTTCTATTGTTGTGTGCATTAATATGGTTAGAAACTATACTCTCATCGAGTTTATAAAATAAGTTTCACTGGTTAATTGTCTTAAGATTTTATGTATCGAGTGAGATGATGATAGAGTCTGTGAAGTGTGCAATGTTCAGACCTGGGTGTATTAAAGACTAAAATTCCCCGTTATCCTTGAGATTGTTATTTAGCATGAAGAGGTCCTGTTTTGAAGTCGATGTGCTTTTGTTAAGCGGTAAAGAGTAACGTTTTTGTAATGTTATGTAAATGACTATGTATCCATTTATGTATTTTGTGAATTGCATTGTATATATTATTTTATTATGTATTTGTATTTGCTCATTTCATAACGATGTGTTAACGTGCGCGTGTGAAAAGCAAGTAGATGTGTGTTTGTATATGTGTGTGTGTGTGTTTGCCGTGCATGTGTGTGCACATGTGTGCGTGTAATGTGTGTGTGTGTGTGTGTTTGTGTGAATATTGTGCGTACATGCATTTATGTAAAGCGCCGAGAGCTGTGTTTACATGGGAGTGGGCACTATAAAAACGATCTCACTATTATTATTATTATTAATTATGGCTGTTCATGCATTTTAAAAATTTGTATTCTCAGGCCATCTGGGAGAACCAGTATTACTACCTGTTTGGTTTTCTGTTCTTGGTGTTCATCATTCTTGTGGTGTCGGTGTCCCAGATATCAATTGTCATGGTCTACTTCCAGCTGTGTGGAGAGGTAAGCTCATTGTTGTTTCATTCTTTTAACCCTTTGTCATCACAATGCTCTTATAGTAAAAACCCTTGCCATCAAAGGCAGAGGCATTTTGGGGAAAATCAAAAGAAACTGGGTGGTAAACATCGCCAATCGGCGAGATGTGACGGCAAAGTGTTTTGAAAATTTACACAGTGATTTCTCATCTCTTCTTTTGGGGCATCATTCACAAGAGGCCTTGAGTGCACATTCATTCAGTGCTGAGGAAAAGAAAGAGTTCTTGCTAGACAGACACCCCCCCCCCCCCCTTGTTCACATTCTGAATATTTTTGTGTTCAAGAAAAATTCATTTTCTTCAATGTGAACCAAGTAACTTTACCCAGGCATTATGCCATCACATTGTTCTGTTGCTGAACTTATGCATATTGCAGGCTGCGAAGGGGAGTCTTTATGCTTCACATAGCATAGTCATGAGATTACACTTGTTGCAAATTCTTCTTTTTATATTTTCAGGATTACCACTGGTGGTGGAGATCTTTCGTCGTCTCGGGAGGATCTGCAGTTTATGTTTTTGCATATTCTGTTTTCTACTTCATAACAAAGGTAACGATGTAATTTGCTCCTTCTTTCCTTCTTTGCTATCAAACATCTGTCGTCCTTATCTCCCCTCCTTCTATTTTGTGTTTGTTACTCTCTTGTAACACCTCTAATCTTCGGCACTTATATATGACTTATTGTGTAGCAAGTGCCGTAAAATTCTTACTAAGACGAAAGCTAAACTAAACGTAAGCTCGAGTTTTGAGCTTTTTGTTGTATAGATTGTGGTCTTGGAGTGAGATGTAAGTCTGATCTATGTAGAAAGTGTACCATGGATGAACCTGTCTGTAGGGAGGCTCTGTCTTAGGAGCTTACAATTGAATTACCATTTGGATTTTTTTTTAAACCCCAGTGATGAACATACCCCCCGGGGCGGTGCTACGGACTGAAGTGTCTTTAGACCATTCCCAAAGGGGAGACATTAACATGTTTGTATGCACAGTAGAAATGTAAATGGGCTGATTCATCAATGTCATGCTCATAACTGTGCCTGAACTGCAGCAGGGAACTGCTGCTTTTTCTTTCCTCATCCTTACTATTTTCATTTTCCTCTGCTTGTTTTGTATGTTTGTCATACTCTTGTGACCCGCTGTTTACGGGGTGCCTTGATAGTTGAAGCAGACTTTGTGCTGTTGAAGCTAGAGAGGTGATCATAGTAAGCCTGATTCCCTGTAAGGACTTCTCTGTTGACATCCACCCCCTTGGCGCTCATATGACCTTATGCAGTTGTGAGCGCCGTAAAACCTCTACTAAAACTAAAGTAACAGTAATGAACAAGCCTTTCCTCCAACAATAACTGGATTTACCTTTGATTAGAATTGGTCATGGCTGACCAAAACAGTGTTTTACGCTGCAACAGTTGGTGGGGGAAGTAGTTTGTTGAGTCCTGGAATGTAAACGAAATATGAAGATAAGATAAGAGAAGGTACATCTTTATTGTCCAGATCTTGGCACATTGGTTTGGTGTTTCACCATTTACACATACACACACACACAAGCGCACGCACACACACACACACACACACACACAAATATGCACACATATATGCTTACAGTCACATGCATAGTATAAATGAACAGCAATATAAACAATAATAATCTTAAGCTAGGTACATACTCAATGTTATTCTGATGCATGCTCTAAGGTCATATGAAGACAGTGTAGTTCGCTGTTGAATGAAAATGGAACTGAAAGTACCTTTTGGAAGACCTATGACCAAATAATTAATGGACCCAGTGCAAAACAACCTCATAATGGGTTGTATGTATTGTTTAACTCACTGAGCACCACACCCCGATTTGCCTCCAAGCCCCAGAGGACTACCAATTTCCCCCACTTTTTGAAAATTCATAAAAAATAGAAATGAAATGCTATTTCTTTGACATTTTCTGTGCTATTTAATAAGATATGGGTTCAGCAGACACAATAAACACATTGTGTGAAGAATGAACGACAAAACAATGTATGAGACAGAAAGTTGGGACAAATTTGCCCCAGAAAAAAAAATTTGAAAAAAAAGGAAGTGATGTGACAAAGCAGAAATCTAATAAACTTAGACAAAATGGTTGTGGCAGTGTGTGTTTGTGTGTAGAAGAATGAAGCATGGGTGTGTACGGTGAAGTAGCATAAAAATGTAAGTGATAATTATTTTTGAAAAAGGAAAAAAAAAAAAAAAAGATCTAGATCTAGATCTTCCACGGTGACAGGCTGAGAAGTGTTTTCATTGTCAGTGTTGCTAGTGCTAGGAGTAGATCTCTAGATGTGTCAATAGATGTCCCAGGTCTGGGTACATTATATATCTTTTCCACTTTGAGGGCTGATTTGAACTAGAGTTTAGTACTGGGACTAGATCTAGATATATCATCATTCCCAGCCGGACCAGGCTGCGTACTTTCTGACGAGTCAGATTTACAATCGAGAGACGATGTTGGTCTAGATCTAGACCTAGCTAATGTAATTTTCTCAGTCATCTTCATCACTGCTAGGCGAATTCACATTTTGATTTATGAAGTTATCTATCTGATACTTCACTATCACTTAAATCTTCACCAAAATTATTGAGAGTTTCAATAAACTTCGACACAACTCACCGTGCCGTGCTTCGCGTACGAGAAACAACAACGAACTGCACGGAAGTTCCTTACTTTCAGTTGTTCAGTCCGTTGGACAAATAACTCGTTTATTCGCACTAAAAGTGGTGAATATACACAAACCACAAAGAACTAGCTTGTCGATATCCTGTTTAAACAACTGGGGCTATTTGCAAGCATTTTTAAACTGCTGGGTTTACTTTATAGTCAATTATAGTTGAACCCGCGTACGCTGCGGTCGCAGTCCCCGACGCGAATTTTACCAGACCGCGTATGCTGCTAGAGCGGTGCTCAGTGAGTTAATGCTCATATATATTGTTCTGTTTATTTCAAATAGTCTAGCATGCACATAGCAAAATCTGTGGGATGTGGAAATATTTTTATGTACATGTTTTAAAATTAAGCACAAAGAATGTACAAGAGTTTGAAAAAATTTGGGATCTAAAAATCTGTTTGCTATGTATGTGTTTTCTGTATTACATTTTTTGTCTGTGTGAAGGCGTATTTTAAAATTTGAGTGATTCATATTCTCATCTTTTCTATTTTCAGTTGGAAATCACAGAGTTTATTCCCACTCTGCTGTACTTTGGATATACATTTGTGATAGTCTTCACTTTCTGGACTTTGACGGGAACTGTTGGCTTCTTTGCTGCTTACTGGTTCATAAGGAGGATATACGGTGCCATAAAAATCGACTGAAACAGGGAGGGACTGGCATCAAATGCCACTGTTAGCTTATATGACTCATTATTCCCTTTAAAAAAAAATAATCGTATCAAGATATTCCTGGATATACCACTGCCTCTGTCGTGACCTAGTTGTGGCTATTGTCAGGTCAGCAGTGTGCTGGAACTTTCATATAACGCTGTAATATATCATTTGATACAAAAGGAGGCTTACGAGCTTATTATTTTCCCAATGTTTCTTGTTCTTGTTGACTACCCCCATTTTCATTATAATGATGTGAGTTTTCTTTGAAATTAGTGAGCAGTTTGACAGGAGGTTGTGTGAGCTCACATTGAAAGCATGATGCCTTGTGGGAGTCTTAGTAGCTGGCATGAATGTTTTATTTGATGGACATTCATCGGTGAAGCAACTGATACGAAGCTACTCACACTCGTGGTATATTCACGCTTTGCTTGAGCACACGTTTATTGCTGTTTACAGCTGAACCTGTAACGGCAGAATCTCTTGGCTATCCCTGTGACAAATTGTTCAGTATATATCATACCTGCTTCCGTGGATAGCTGTCCAACATAGTGTCATAATTAAAAACTGTTTCCATCTTGAAAATTCAGCCAGTCTAAACTGAACAAGAAAATTGTATTTTTAAGTTCCTGTAGGTCCACAGAAATGAGTTAAAGAATTTTTTGGGTCTTTTTTGTTTAATGAATATTTTGTGTTTACCCTCCTGGGGTGAGGGTTTTTTTTTCCCTTGCATGTCACCATGCCTCGAGGTTGCTATTTGTTTCTTAAAATTACTATTTTGGTGAGAACTTATGCTGATTTTCATCTGGCCTGGGTGGCAAGTGAAACACTGTACATAACCATCACAATGTGTGTTGGTCCGTATACTCATGGTTCTTGATTAACTCACTGAACTCTGATCCCGAATGATGTGTGGAGAGACTTGCGAATTCTTAGAAGTATGGCAATATAACTAGTGTACATCTATCCCTGTATTTATCAATTGCTTAACCTTTTTTCTTACCAAAAACGACCACCATAAGGCGATTCATGCATAATACTGAGGTGGTTTATGGTTTTAATGATGGTATCTGGGATGTAAAAGTCAATGTGATCTCCGGATCTTTTTCTCCAAAACTCCAACATCTTGGAACGTCTTTAAAATATTGTGAAAAATATATCCCTTACCTGAATAAAAACTCAATTTTCCAATGAAGATTTGGACCAAAGAATTTGAAAGACTAAATGCTATGACTGTGACCATTCTCCACCACTTATCTTTATTTGGTTCGTCAGTTGTGAATTTTTTAAAAGCATTTAGAAAAATTAGCGGGTTAAGTTTGTTGGCTGTCTAAAAAGAGGCAGGGTTCAGTGAGCTAGATATATATGTCTTTTGTGTCTGTTGTTTTTGTTTTTTGTACTGCGAATATGATGACCGTACTGTGAATATGATGTCTGTATTGGTACAGTTCCGAGTGTCTCATTGTGCTTAGTGTTTGAGGTACTGAGTAGCAGGAATGAGTCTGTATATTTCCTTCTAAACATATTTTATTAGCACCCAGATGAATGACATGTATAAAGCTTTGCAGCATTGTGCTGAGTGGTGGGTTCCCATCCCTTTCTGTGTTTGTGGTATGCAATGTGATATGGAGTAGTATTGACCTTTTGTTTTTGATTGTTTCTTTTGTTTGGTGATGTTTTTTTGTTTTTTACGTAAATTCTTTTTGATGATTCTGGAGATTTTTATTTCCCGAGAATGGGCTAGGAGATAATGGTGATAGTTGCGATGACAATGGTTGAATGGAGGCAATTGCTCTTTTTTGCTGGTGTTGGTACTTAGCGTTTGTTTGTAAAGATCTATCTTGTCAAAAATTTGTAATAGTTGCAAATTCTGGGAGGGGGATGTCAATTGCACTTTTCAAAGGGAATTTGCCTGTCTTCATCAGTGGCTGCTTCTTTTACTGATCTTCAAAGAATATATATTTTGTTGTTGGTTTGTTTTTGGTGGCATATGGTTTAGGAAAAAAACAAACTTTTCGAAGACCTATACGTGTTTCAACGAGTGCTCCATATTCTACTTAGCCACACCAAAGAGATCACCTCCCTTTACATCTGATTCCCGCCTTAGCATTAGTAATAATACTGCCTACAAGGCTTACTTTTGCTTACCTTGCTTGTGCTATTAGTTTGTAGACTTTCTTTGAAAAAGATAAAATATTTATACGTGATAGGCTATATATTATATTGTATTATTGCTCTGTGTTCAGATTCCAACTGTTTGTGTGAGCTCACCACACATACCATTTGCACAAGTAGTGGGGTTAAAAAACTTTTGCAAAGTTTGAGTTGAGAAAGATTTTGTTTGTTTGTAGAAAATAATGTATTGTTAGTAAAAATAAAAGGGCTCTTCTTTTCGTGCCATTCCACCTTTTTTCTGAAGGGAGTATAAAAACATCCAAAAGTTTGTTGTCTGTGTGAGAAAGAATTGGTCTCTTTTAAGGACAAGCGGGCTGACCCAGATTTCGGGGGGTTTCAGAAATCTTGACCTACACCAAAAGTGGGCTTTGCCCTACCTATAGGAGAAGTTTGGGTTCATTGATGTGTATATTTGTTTGGTTACAGAGAAAACTCTCCTTGTCTTTTAAACAAACTGAACAAGGGTCCAAAAACTTAACCTTCGATTTTCTCAGAACAAGGTTTTCAGGATAGCGCGTTTGTGCTTAAAAGCGACCAATTGAGAATATGCTTTCAGGGAAGGTGTGGCTGTTTGTGTATGTGAAAAGTTTGCCTGCTGTATATTTGCTCACTTGTTGGATGGCCTGGGGAGTTGGTGCTCTGAAATCCTGTTTTGGCAGTGGGCGTTGTGGAAGTATTCTTGTAAGTCCAGGTGAACATCACTCGGAAACACAGCCACCTGTGCGGACCAGTCTGACGGGTCTCCAACCACATTATGATGGAGACTGTAAGCAGACAGACTCTGGGATGGATCCTGAAGAGGGGGGGAGAGCTGAGATGGACATGTTCCGACTGTAGTGACCCCAACACTGAGGACAAGGATTGACCACTCAGATTTGAACATGTTGTTTCAAAGTCTTGGTCAATTTTGTAACAAAGCCTGGGCCACCGGCGATGGTAGGAGATAAATAAAACCCGTGGAAACAACGCAGAAGTGGATTCCGGTTCAGTTCTCCGAAAAGCTGGGGCAAGTCAGTTTGAAATAAATTAAATTGGAGACAAAGCAAGGGGAAAGATGACTGAATGACTGTCTGAAAAAAAAAAAAGAAGAAAATTGAATGAAAGAGAGGAAAATAGTTGCTTTGATTTTAAATGGATGCATGAAGAAATGAAAATGAAAGAAAAGAGTCAAGTATGAAAGTTCAGAAAGGAAGAAATATGAAAGAGATGAATTGATGGATGTGAGGAAGGATAAGAAGAAAGGAGTAATACTGTAATACATGTAGTGACAAAAAAAAGGAATTCATTCTTTGTCTTTTTAATACTACCATGGTTCTGTGCTGCGCACAGCGTCACTTTTCGCCCGATTCTGTTACTTTTAGTTCGCGTGACTCAGCAGCCCGCCGGAGCTCCCCGGCTCGGAGTCAGGGGGTTAATGAGCCCTGAAGCGACTTTGCCGGTGTTGGTCGGGAAGTTCGCATTTTTGACTATGTTTAAAACGATATAACTTCTTCCCCGTCACACACAGCAAACCATTACGCGGATGTACTAAAAACTCAATGTCTTGAGATTTATTCTGCGTTAGAATGGTTAGTTTCTGTGCCTTAGTTTTTGTTCTAGACAAGTGTTTGTAGAGTACCCAATTTGTCCTATTTTAGTTACAAAGTTATGAATAAATGATTGTTATTTTTATAAAGGCACGACAGATCTCTCCAAATTCTGTGTTAAACTGACTACGAATATCATGTCTTTTACCATGAGAAATCTTAAATCTGTGGTAGTAGTAATAGTCAAGTTATAAGAGAAGAAAGATGCACATCTGCATATTTTAACTAAAGACGATCAGCGTTAGCTCTTATTTTACTATTAAACAAGAGAAAGTTACTCTGCATTTGTTCATGAATCATGCTGTGTCTGTGGCAGCCTGCATACAACTAAAAAGATATAAGCGATTTAAAAAACCACAAAACCGTGTAAATACATGGGTAGAGATAAACTTCTAGTATGGAATAAAAATAATGACAGCTAAAACATTCATTCTTAGTTTTTGTGTAGGAAATATGCGCGGACACAATTATGAATGTAAAGAAATCAGTCACATTGTCAGTTATTGCAAATGGTCATAGAAACGTAAAAAAAAGCTGGAAAAGTCTGGTGCTGATTCAGTGTCCCTGGAAAGCTAGAAATTATTCTTATAACCCAATTACGAGAAGTCATCCTTATTATTCAGTCAACTTACAAAACCTAGACTTAGCGTTTTAAGAAAAGTAAGCAATTTCTGGAGTGTAACAGATACTGTTCGTGTATTAGATCTACGTTGAAGATATATTCTAGCACTAAAATCGATTTGTACTTTTCATTGAGAAACTTCATGATAACTTTTATAAACTTTCGAGAAAATATGCGAATATTCATGATTATATTAGACACATAAAGTTGTATTTGGAGGAATTACTTGGTAGCGAATTGTGTGCCCGATGGATAAAATTGCAAAATTACAGCCTTCTATTATAAGCGCAGATACCATCTTTTCTGAGTATCTGCACTAATGTTATGTCGTTCATATTCCAAAAGTTCGACAGATTTTGACGATGCGTTTTTTTTATATTGATTTTTTTTCATTCACGCTAGTCCCAAAAAAATTACAATTTAGCATTGCCGACTCCAGGGCGTCTAACGAAATAACCAGACAAGTTACAACGTCCGTTCTTTTTTGAGTCTCAAGAGCAGAAATGCGTGCTTTGGGTGCACTAATTGAGAATTACCATAAATACAAGGATACACCTTAAATTGTACGTTGAAAAGTACCAAAAATTAAGTCGGCCCAGACAGAGCGGCGACAGGGAGCTGACCTCCGTGACCCCGACGTGATAAGGCGCCCGGCGGGGAACCCCCCGCGGCAACTAAAATTCCACTGCCGGTGCGCCGTGTGCGCTCCACAGCTAGTGTTCTGATAAAGAATGGCGCATATGGTGTATGTGAATGTTTTGTTGTGATGAGGTGAAAGCAATTAAGTGGAAAGTGCGCTTGAGTAGTTTAGCTGAACAGTAAAGAATTAGAGTCATATACTCAGAAGTTGGTAGAGATTATGTACCACATGAATGTAATGAGTCGAGTCCTGTTATTTTTGAAAATACTAACATCAATACAACAGAAAATGCTGTCAGTGTGCTCTATGAATGACTTTAAAATGTTTCCTGTCAGCTCAATGTGTGGATGACAGTCGTATCTAAGGTGTCGATAAAAGTTGAACTTGCAACTACAGAGGCACATTTGGTTTTTCTAAGTGTCATTTTATGGAACTGAACTTTTACTGTACAGTGTTGTATCTATTGTCATTGTGAAACATTTTTTTTTGTTTAGTGCGCCTTTTCTGAAACTGATTATGAATTGCGTTTTAATAGTTTACTGAACTAATCATGATTTTTTTTATTACTTGCATCTTCTTGCACTCTAAGTACCCTTTCCCCTGTATATCAAAACCTGTGAGTGTCATTGTGTGCTGTTTTTGTCTTTGGAGTTCAGTATGTGAATGGATTAGAGCAAGATTTGAATATGAGCAGTCTATCATTAGCATCATATGCGAGTCATACCACAGGCTATACCCGACTCTTACATCAATTCTTTTTTTATTCTTCTCACCTGTGATCTTTTCATTCAGCAGAATTTGAAGTCAGATCTAATTCTGTGCTGCAGTGGAAAAGATCCCTTTGCCTTGGAGCATTCTCTGTTTTCTGTCTTCCTTTAGCTGAATTCTTTCAATATTGTTTAGGAAGATGGTTCTCTTTCTCGAATGGGACTTAAGGACATGTTGTCAACTGAAGTAACCACAGTCTTTGTCAAATTTATAGTGAATCTTATAAAACTTTCTCATTCACTTCAGCAGTAACTGGCTTACACTTTCAGAGAGTCTTGTTTCTGACTGGATGTCAAGGAACCTCAAATTTTGAGTTTGTTATGTTTTGTAATGAAGTAGGCCTACAGTCTCAGCCCGGCTGGAAATATTGGGATAGTGGTCCGTGTACAACAGCATTTCTGTAGTGGAAATATTTATTGTGCTGTCACTGTCATGAATTATTCTCTCTGGTTTGTTGGATTTTGGTCCAAGCTGGAGAGGTCAAGGGTAATGGTGGTGGTGTTTCTAATATTTCTCCCCCCCCCCCGTAATTTTCAGTGCCAGTTAGGGAAATAAAAAAAAATTAAGACTAGATTGACTCACTTGGTGTACTGTGTCAAATAGTGATTATTATCATATTTTTCTGTGAAATGACTTATGGAACGGTTCTTTTCTAATGATCTTCACAGTGGTATCTTTTTTTTGAATGGATCTTTCTTTTGACATATCTGGTTTTTTCCTTGCTTGCCATGAACAATTTCTTATTGGGGAGCTCTTATATTACACACTTGTATGTATATAAGAGGTTTCTTAAGGGGTAATAGTAATTGACAGTGTGAGCAAATGCATTGGTATGAATTTCTATAATGTTGTATTGGTTTGTTTGTTTTTTTCTTCAAAAGAAAATGTGGGATTAAATGCGCAATGGAGTTCATTCATCTTGTTCTATTTTGTTCTTATTGACTTATTAATGTTCAGCACATCAATTAAAATATCTTTGCAAAACATTTTCACACACTGACGCTACAGACTACCCAAATGAGAACATTATCACATTGTCAGCCCTCAGAGATTGGGCAATATGTGTGTCAAATACATTTTGTATTATCTTCCTCGTTGCCTCTATTATTCTTTAGCTACTCTATGTGGGCTATTAAAATAGTAAACTGGTCAAGTGCGGATCATTGTGAGGCACTTATTTTGGTGAGGTTTTCAAGCAATGATCAGGGATTGTCTTCAAAAGTTAACGAGGTGTGTATAATATTCATGCTGTAGTGATGTAAATTTATGCTGATTATCGCTTGCTGAATAAGACAAGCACTTGGGGTTTGTTGCAGGAGGAAACTGTAAAGTAAAGATGCTTTGGATTAGATTATTACATAGGGCTGCATGTTGATTTAAAAAAAAGTTATTTCATCTTTTCCTTCGTCGCTTGTTTCTGCTGCTTTTTCTTTCCTAATCCTTACTATCGTCTTTTTTTTCTCTACTTCTTTTGTATGTTTGTCACTCTTGTGACCCGCTATTTCCGGGGTGCCTTGATAGTCGTAGCAGACTTTGTGCCGTTGAAGCTTGAGAGGTGAACAGAGTATGTGTAAGTCTGATTCCCTGTAAGGACTTCTCTGTTGACATCCACCCTTTGGCGCTCATATGACCTTATGCAGTTGCGAGCGCCGTAAAACCTCTACTAAAACTAAAGGGATTCCTTTTCTTAACAGTACAGTGAGCAGGTGCGGTGGTGGAGCGGTTAGTCAGGGTTCGAGCCTCGGTTCAGACACAGATTTTTTCGCCTTCTCCTGCCCACCTAGCAGTAATGGGTACATTACTTGACTTCGCGTTGGGGAAGTAAAGGCGGCGTGGAAAGGAACTGGTCACCCCACCACGATATGCCGAAGGCCCAGGAACTTGTCTCACTAACAAGGCTATCCCCAATGTCCGGATCGGATGCGAGAACAACTTTACTTTTTACAGTGAGCAGGTGCGGAGTTCAACTTGTCAGGTTTTGTTGATGAGTTTCCAGTAGATACAACAAAGTTCATTCATTTGTCATCATGTTAAGGCTAGAAGTACTGGAAAAAGAAATAGTTTTTGTCTTCCTACTCTTTAAGGACCAAAGCTCTCTATCAGTGAGCAACAGCTGTTTTTGTGCCATTTTAATCCATTTATCATTTCCATTTGTGAAGAACTACTTAGGCAGAAAAATATTGTTGTTGAAACTAGAGAGGTGAGCAGAGTAAGCCTGATTCCCTGTAAAGACTTCTCTGTTGACATCCACCCCTTGGCGCTCATATATGACCTTATGCAGTTGTGAGCGCCGTAAAACCTCTACTATAAAAAACACCCCCAAAAAAGAACACTTGTGTGTTATGTTATAATGTTTGTGTAAAATTCCAGGTTGTAAAAAAAATTTGTAGAAACATAATATGAAGCGTCCTTGGTAATAGATCTACTAATACTAATAGTAGTTGCCAGACTAGTAGCAGTAGAGGTAAGTTTGTATTAAAATTGTTTGGAAGAAAAAACTGAGTAGTGTTGGTTGAAAAGTATTGCTTTTACTTTTAGTTTAAAGAGTTTATGTTTTCCTCTTTACTTTATT